ACTTTACAAATAACTTACCGAGGGTCCACCATATGTCAGAGGGTCTGTGTTACTTGACTCAGGAAATACAGAATGAATGTGACCCAGCTTTTGCCCTCAGTAAACTTGTAGACTCTTAAGGAGATTGCACATCTACCTGCCCAACGTAAATTCCCTAAGAGAGAACTGCATCTCATAGGGAGGAATAAGGAAGATATCTTAAAGTAAGAAAAAATTATATTAGGATAAGATTACAGACACAGATTGTGTTAATTGTAGTCTTCCCAGTGATAGGAAGTAGAGATGTGCTGTTTCTTGTCCTGCCTCAATGAGTGAGGTTTGTTGAATGCACCACAGGAAGTGGGAAGGACAGGAAACCAGTCTCAGCAGCCACCCAGGGAGGCCTCATGGAGAAACAGATAGTTCTTTGGTGGCGTGAGAGCCCCTCTGTCATCTCACCACAAGTCAATGCCTAATTCCTTCTCCAGTGATCTTCACTGTGGACACTCAGCTCCTCTCAATGGCAAAGGCAGCGTGTATATGTGTCCCCATTGCACTTCTCAGGAGAGAAAAAAAAAATCTGTTTTGGCTAATCTACATTCAACAATGAGCACCTCTGCTGGGCAAAGCTCATGGCAGCAGCCTCTTAGGCAGTTTGCCAATGTGCCAACCAGAGGATACATGTTTTTTGGCCTTTCCTGATTCAATAAATTGTGTACAGGACAACACCATGGATCACTTGGTATAGAAGAGTGTATTTCAGACTTCAGCATGCATATGAATCCCCTGAGGACCTTGTGGAAATGTGCACTCTTGATTCAGCGGTTCTGGGGTTTCAGGAATTCTCTGTTTCTAAGGAGCTCTTAAGCAATGCTGATGTTGCCTCTTCTCCTGCTTCTGTATGAATATGACTATGCAGAAGGCAAGGCACTCCATGTGGCAGACTTGTGGTTGTGAGGTGGCATTTCATGAGGGGAATAACTGTGAATAAAAGCGTGGAGGAAGGTGTGGTGTTGAGGTCTATATGTGTTTACATAAGGCCAATTTGGAATATAGTTAAGGTCAATAAGACGTCTTTAGACCAAAAAGTCAGTATTGAAACAATTCAGATGTAGTTTCTAAATACCAATGTTGTTTAGGTTGGCAGTTAGTCTTTTCATAATTTTAATCCAAAACATGGTAAGCAGCTGAGTATGAATTTTCCTTATTCATATTCACTTGAGAGCTTGCTGCATGACTCCTGTCAGTTTGTCACTAGTTCTGTTTTGTTGGTGAGAAGGGTGATAGGACATGCAGTAGGACTTATTTATCACAAGCAGTTGGGAGCCACCATGCCTGGTTTAGACACCAAGCGTCAGATTCCTTCATTCTGGTACCTTGGGAGAATTGCACACTTCTCATTATCTTTGTTGGAGATCCAAAGACGTGAGTTCAACATTTGTTCATGAGGATCCTTGAACCATAATAATGTCTGATATTCATAGAATGAGTCCATTTCAAAGTTTTATTTCTACTCATTTCATAAATAAAATCTAAGACTGATTTAAAAACCAAAGAGGCCTTTTACACTTTTATTTAATGATACTAGAGCCCAGCAATTTCAAATCATGGATTATATCTAATAGAAGAGAACTGAATTAAGTATTCAAGTCCTCCTGACATATTGGCAGGTACAGGAGGAAAAATGATGTCATTTTTTTTTCTTTGCATTTTATTCACTGTCTTCAGAAGGAAGGCTCCATTGATAGTGACATCTGTTCTTCAGTGTTCAATGGCATAAGGGAATAAACATAATATTTTATTTTCTGAAACACACCCATTTCAACTCATTCTTCTTTGAAAAATGACTTATTTTAATATTC